GGCCCGAGATGTGGGGAGATGTGGGGAGATCTGGGGAGATGTGGGTCTGTGCTCCGCTACTAGGGGCCCGAGGGGCCCGAGATGTGGGGAGATGTGGGGAGATCTGGGGAGATGTGGGTCTGTGCTCCGCTACTAGGGGCCCGAGGGGCCGATGTGGGGAGATGTGGGGAGATCTGGGGAGATGTGGGTCTGTGCTCCGCTCCTAGGGGCCCGAGGGGCCCGAGATGTGGGGAGATGTGGGGAGATCTGGGGAGATGTGGGTCTGTGCTCCGCTCCTAGGGGCCCGAGGGGCCCGAGATGTGGGGAGATGTGGGGAGATCTGGGGAGATGTGGGTCTGTGCTCCGCTACTAGGGGCCCGAGGGGCCCGAGATGTGGGGAGATATGGGAGAGCTGGGTTGGCGAGGACGACGGCTTCTAAGGAAGCCGTCGTCTGCGCCTTGTCTGCCGTGTGAATCGTGCGTGTGCGTCCGGCTCTGGTTGTGAACTTCTAGCATGCCAGACAGGTACAGCTCGCCCGCCGTCTGACCGGTCGAGGTGAAGCCCAGCGGCGCCTATTATATTATATTATATTATATCATATTATATTATATTATATTATATTGCCGGTCGAGGTGAAGCCCAGCGGCGCCGCGCACAGCGCCTCCAGCTTTGCGAGGTGGTCTGGCACCTGTGCAGAAGCGGGCGTGAACGCGGCCGGTTCCGACCTCTGTCCGCACCCGCGTCGCAGCGCCAGTGTGGCAAGGAGCCGTCTCGGAGAATCTCCGGCAATCTCGGGTGATCTCGGGCGGTCCGGCACCGTCGTGGCGATGAGGCCGCGAACCGCCGCCGCCTTGGCAGCGCGCACCTCGCGCGGCTTCCAGCGGGCCAGCTCCGCGCCGAGGAGGAGCGAGTAGAGGTCCTCGCCCTCCGCCAGGCACATCTGCGAGAGCGCAAAGTCGTCGTCGCCCGCGCCGTGCATCGAGGCGCGGTGCGCGATGTAGTTCGCGATCGCGACGCTCTGGCCGACCACGCGCCCGCCTGGCGTGCGCAGCATAGGGAGCTGCCCAAACGGCGAAGCGCCCGACGCCTTGATCGCGGGCCAGCTCTTTGGCCCTGCAGGCGACTTGTCGACCGTGAAGCCGGTCCACTCGAGCCCGCTCGCCTCGGCCAGAATCGCGAGCTGCAGGCCCTTGGCCTGGACCGGAAAGTAGATCAGCTCGCCGAGGGACATGTCCTGAGCGCAACACTGGAGCGCGCGAAAAGGAACCCGATAACGGCGAAAAAGAATTTTACAAAATCCCGCGCACAACACTGGGCACGGGACTAGCGCGCACTGGCACTAACACAGGTACACCACGGGAGCCGCCTAAGCGACTCACGCGAGGACGGCGAGGCACTTAGCTCCGTGCACTCGACCGCCCTCGCCGCAGGCAAGCTCATTCACAATCTGCTCTGCGATCGCGTGAAGAACGACTGAGATGCGCTGCTTCTGCAGCCCCAGCCAGCTCTTGGTGGTCCAAGTCACCTCATCGAGGTGGTACTGGGCCCGCGTCAGCTTGTTCTGCAGCGAGCGCGTTCGCCGCCTTCCAGAGGATCGCGCCAGGGAGCAGGGCGGCCTTGCAGAGTAAATGCGCCTTGCGCGAAATTGCGCTAACGCAGCGAATTTTTTGAGCGGTGTCAAACGCGCGAGATCAGGCCCTTCCGACGGCAAATGTGCGAAAGGTCGATCCTAGTCGCAGTTCGGTTCAAGTTCGGACGAGAACGTTCACTTTTCGCATTTCGCACGTAATAACTATCCCCTGGGGCCTTCCCCGCGGCTCCCGCGGCCACAGACGGCTCAGCTATGATAGCTAACAAGCTGGCTGCCGCAGGAGCTGCCAGATTCGGTCGTACCAGTCGATGCCACGCGTGCCGAGGTGGCCTCCGCGGCCCTCTCGGCACAAGCACGCGTGGCATGGAGGCGCGTGCATATGCGACAAAGAGGCTGCCACCTAACCATGCCAGTGGCTGAGCCATGTGTGTATGAGCTAGTGGAAGTGGAGTCCTGCACGTCATACTGCATCAGTTGACCATGGTCTGGCAGCCACCCCGTTCTTTTTAGATACTTGCTTGGGGCGCCGCCCCATAAAGGTATCTGCCGAGACCCGCTGGGTATCTTTTTCCGGTACCCGATTTTCATCACGCTCAAGTATCATCTCGAGATAGATACCATCACATCGGCTCTTGGAGGGAGGCTCCTAACGTCCCTGCCTGGCGTGATAATCGACACCGCTCGTCGTCCGCCGCAGTACCAGTAGTGACGAGCGAATTGCCTGCTATCCGTAGTGGCGTCCCGGCACCCTTGATGAGCGCGGGGAACCGGCAGCCCGCGGCGAGGCATGCGTCGCGAGGGACCGGGCGACGCAGAAACCTGGAGAGGCGCGACCAGGACTCGTTGGCGGAGAGCGCGGTGATGTCGATCTCGAGCAGGCGCGAGGCGGGCACGAGGGAGCGCACGAGCGCATTGTGCGCCTCAAATGCAAGCCGGACCGTATCGGAGTCGGCGCCGCCGCCGCTCCTGAGCAAGTTGAGCTCCTTCTGCCGAGCCTTGGCGGAAGCATCACACGCGGGGTTCAGAAGCTCCCAGAGCGGTACGTCCCTGTCCACCCCCCCTTGCCAAACGTCGGGCGGATCCGCTGCCCGCAAACTCGTATCGTTCACGGCCACCGATTGCTCATACGACCCCCTGTGGTGGCGTGAGCGAGAGGCGAACCAGGCGGCGGCTGGACGAACAGTGAGGACGACGCGCGCAGTTGGTCCATACGCTCGCCAAAGGTACGGGAAAAAGTTGGGCACGGGCGTGTCGAAGACGGCATCCAGCCCGTCGAAGACCCGGAAGAGCGCCGGGTCCTTTGTCTCCTGTGCGAGGTATTTGCATAGCCGGCCCTGCAGCAGATTGTGCATCTCGGAGCAGAAGGAAAGGGGGCAGTTCACGCCGGCCGATGCATTGTAGTAATGAGAGCAGTGGCCGGTTGTGAGCCCAAATTGTTTCATGGCCGTCGCGAGCGCTCTCGTCGCGGTCGAGCCCCAGCCAGCACCGATCACAAGCGGCTCGACCTGCTGCGCCTCAGTGCCAGGATCATCTGACGTAGCAGCGCGATGCTGGACCTGCCCTGCGCCCAACAAATCCAGCTCAGTCGCACCTTTGACTTCGTTCGCCACTCCCCCGATGGTCGGCACGTACAGCTCGGGTCGCGGCGCGCACTGCGGGTTCGCCTCCGCGTGGGTCGCGAGCTTCTCGAGCACCGTTCGCTTGATGCGGCTGATGCGTTGCTTGCACGAGGCTCACCGCCTTCCGCGTGCGGCTAGCCGCAGGCAGGGCCGCGAGCTCTGCCGCGTACTCCGCAGTGCCGGCGGGCCAGTAGGCGGCGACGAGGAGGCGGCGCGCGCTCATGGCGATGTGCTCGCACTCCTCGCTGTGGTCGACGCAGAAGCGCGCCCCCCGGATGATGTCTGATACGTTCGCGAGATCGACCGGAATGAAGTGCTCCCACGGGCGGGCGAGGCTGGTCGTCCACGTGACCGCCGTCTGCGTGGCCTCCATCAGCAGCGTGCAGCCGCTTGCCATCGCCCAGACGGACGCAGAAGCGGCGCCATTGCCGGGCAGGATCAGCAGCATCTGATAGCGCTGCGCCTGCTGTACGGCCGTGAGATACTGGTCGAACTTGACGCTACGCAGGCCATCCCCGGTTTTGTTGTGTGGCGCAAGATCGTGCAGGCCAGTGTCGAAGAGGGAGCCACCGTGTGCACGCAGCGCACTCACCACATCAAGGCGCGAGGTGCCGTCAGTGCGACCAAGGCCTGTGGACAGGCTGCCGCGCCACACCACCACGGGCCGTCGCTGCGACCACGGCACGGCGACGCTGAGCAGCTCGGGCCAGAGCCTCGCCACATCCTGTTCGAGCATCCGATACATCGGCCAGACCACCACGTTAGGGCTCGAAGCGTCGCGGCAGCTCATGATCGCAATTTGGGGAGAGGGAGTGCAGCGGTCGCCGTCCATCACAACAACGGGTCTCTCACGTGCGCGGCTGCTGAGCAAAGGCAGCGTGTCGTAGAACTTTGCGCTCGTGTTCCGCAGCACCGACTGTCTGGAGACGGCTCTGCTCATGTTGTTTATCATGTACGTGCCGTTCGGAAACACCAGGAAGTCTCTGCCTTTAATGTTGCGTTCCGTGTGGCTGCACGAAGTGGTGAGTGCGCGGCCGATCCAAGCGTCAGCGACATCCGAAACTCGCAGCATCGTCGGGGCTGTCATCAAGCCGTGTGGTTTTGTGTTACTCGCCTGCCCACTGATAGGGCACTCGGAGGTCAGCGGGTAGCGTTAGGGCAGAGTGTGGTCGTCGGTGAGGGCGACTGCGGATGTGATGGGCGTCTTAGAAGTTGCGGATGTGTTGTGCTCGGGACAGCGCGCGTCCTGGTGTGTACCTAAGCCGGCGGCCCCGGTTCAACTACTTCATATTCAAGCCGGCGGCCCCGGAATCCGATGTTTTCTTGTGTCAGGGACGTACAGGGACCTTCAGGGGCGTTGAAAAAGGTCGTCAAATCTCGATAATTTCATTTTGCCGTTACGACCGTTACACCGACCGTTACACCGACCGTTACGACAGTTACGGACGTGACACGTGTCCACGCTCCCGGTTAGGGCGGCTAAGTCGGGGCCGCCGCGTTTAGGGCGGCTAAGTTCGAGGCCCTCTCGTTAGAGCGGTTACGCCGAGGCCGATCCAGACAAAGAAGGCGGCGGCTGACTGTCAGCGATGGCAAAGCACTCGCGCCGCCGCCGCAGACGGAGCTGCAGGTGTGTGTGTGCGCCGCAGCCAGCGCCGGGCAGTGCGACACACCCCGCGGCGCATTCTGCAACGCCCCTAGGGCGTAGGCCTGCGACGCTAACGTCCGTACCCGGCCCTCCCGGCCCGTCTCTTGTCTGCTCTTTGCTTGCGTGTGTGCCCGTGCCTGGCCCCTTTAATTTCTTTTCACACATACAAACTCACAAGCAAGGCTCACACGCCGTGCCGAAATGCGCGCCATCATGGCGCATGCGCAGGTGCTCGTCGCGGCTGCAGCCGCCGCACGCTCCGTGGAACGCGACGCCGCGCCATCGACGGCGCTCATGATGGTGAGTGTGTGTGCGCCGCACCTTGTGCCGTGCCCTGCCTCACGCGAGATGCCCCCGTTCGCTGCGCGTGTGCGCCCATTGCAGGCGGACGAGGGCGCCGGGTTCAGCGTCGCGGCCAGCTCGACCGCCCTCGTCGCCGTCGGCGCGGCGGCCGCAGCGCCCAAGGTGCGCGCCACGCTTGTGCAGAGCCGCCCTTGCCGCACCGGCCCGCGCACCGGCCCTCGAAAGCTAGCTCAAAAGCTCAATCCTCTCCGCACCCGCGCGCGCGCAGGCCCCCGATGACGCGAGCGCCGACGACGAGGCGGTGCGCGCGCTCCTCGGTACGCAATTTGAGCGCGGCGACGCGGAGGACTACGTGCAGCTCAAGGACGTGGCGGCGCTGCTCGAGGCGCACCATCCCGACTGCCACGCGCGGCTGTACCTCAAGACGGGCACGCGCGTGCCGAGCAACGAGGCCCTGGCGGCGACGGTGTCGCGTGTGCTCGGCCGTAAGGTGCGCAACGAGCAGGTGACCTTGCCGGGCCAGGTGAAGGCGCGGGGCCCGATCCGGGGCTTTCGCAAGGTGTGTGGCCGACCCTGAGGCTACCCCGAGGCTACCCCGAGGCTACCCCGAGGCTACCCCGAGGTTTCGCCCCGTGGCGTCGGCCGGTGACGCTCCCAGTGCAGCTCTCCACGTGCTGAGCGCTCTGTTGTGTGCGTACGTGTGCGCCAGGTCGTCGCAGCCGCAGACGAAGCCGACGGAGCAGGCGGCGAGCCACGCGCGGCCAAGGCGCCGCGGCTCGACCCCGCCGTGGAGCTGGAGGCGCTCCGCCGGCGCGTGCACGCGCTCGAGCACGAGAACGAGCGGCTGCGCGGCGCGGCGGCGGGGGTGCTGGATGCGGCAGCGGCGGCGCGGAGCTCGCCCTCGAGCAGCGAGGGCACGGTCGACGCGCCGCGGCCGCTGCGCGGGCACGGCCTGCGCGGTGCGCAGATCCGCTGCCGGCCCTCGCACGACGTCGGCACGATCGTCGCACGATGCGAGGCCTTTGACCCGATCGGCGAGGCGTACGCGCTGGTCGACGCGCGCGGGCGCCGCCACTCGGTGCGCCTGCACGGCCCGGGCAGCCTGCGCTTCGAGCTCGTTGCCGCGGCGCCGCGCTTTCGCATGCAGCGGGCCGTCGCGTGCAGCCTCTGTGAGGACGCCGGCGCGACGTGGCGCACCGCGTGCTGTCGACACGCCATCTGCGGGGCGTGCCTCGACGGCATCGAGAGGCAGCGCGCCGAGTTTGACCGCTCGGTCGCCATCGCGCCGCCGCCGAGTGGCCGAGCGTGCCCCTTTTGCGGTCAGGTCGACGAGGGGGGGATTTTTCAATCCAGGAGGGGCCTCAGTGGGGTGCAACAGGAAAGGCTATCCGCCGATCCATGCACCCCTCCTCATAGGACACCCTCCCAGACTCTTTCCCTACGACGTGGGCCGGAGACAGTAAGCTTAGAGGTACATAAAATCAAATACTACTCATCACGCGATTCGCAACTCCGTGCATAATTTGGCTGTCGAGGATGCGGAGGTCGAGTCGATTTTTGTTAGAAGTAGGCCACTCAACTAAGGTATATCGACCTTCGCAAACGTCCCGCCATGTTGCGTTGGCCCGAAGAAAAGCGCGAAGGGCGAAAGTGGGTCGAACAGAACCTCCCTCCACAACCGTCGCCCACGTGAAAAACCGATCTTCCAGAGCGCAGAGGAGCGAGAGAAAGCCCTCGCCGTCTGAAGTTTAACGAGGGACTGGCATCGGTCACAAATCACTATGCACCCCTCGGCAATGCGCATCGCGTCCAAAGTACCTCGTGCACGCCCGGGTCCTTTTCGATTACCCCAGCTTTGTAGTGATCTACCTCTAGGCTGTTTGCGGTGAAAGCTGCATGCACGCAGACACACGCGTTAGCGCTACAAAGAAGACTCCTCTATTGCAAACATCTCAGGGCCAAAGCATGCGTCTCCGTAAGAAAGCATAGGCGGCGTAGAGGGTATCCACTCGTCATCGCTGCGAAGCAAGCAAGAGCGTGGGGCCGCTGGCGGACCGCGATCCCCCACCCTCTCAAGAGCATCTCGCGGGCACCCTCCTCGCACCCTCCCCAGCCATCACGGGTTTGGCAGTCGCCCGATCCCGCCGCCCATGCGGCCGACGCGAGAAGGGGCGCTCTGGGATCCCACCCCAGGGGGAAGGAGTAGGGGGCACACGCGAGGGACAACTCTCCTACGGCTCAGTGCTTAAACTCGCAGCGCGGGTCGGTGCAAGGGGCTCCATTCACGCCGGCATGGCAAGGGGTGAGGGGGAGCTCGCGCATGTCATGCGAGTGCCTCTTGGGGCAACACCACGTGCGGCATCTCCCCGCCTTCCAGAGCCTACAAGGATCGTCGCGGCACCTGAGAGCGTGTTGCTCGCGCGCCTCCCGCCGGGACTCGACTCGCTTCGCGATGCGCGCTTCCGCTGCTTCTTGGTTGTGATCAATGGCTTGCGGTTCCCGCCGCCATATCAATGGCTGGCAAGATAAGTCACAGACTTCCGCATCGCAAAAGAAGTGGCCGTGCGACCAAGTGGCTCTGCGCCCGCACTTACACAACGGCACCGTCTCCACCTCGGAGGGCGACGCATTGGCGAGACTGCCCGTCGCATTAGGGGGGCGGCGGCTGACGCGCGCACGCGATGCGACGCGCGAGTCACTCCCTTTGATCGAGGCCGCTGCCGACGCGCTTGACAGAGCTGGAGCGATGGGAGCGTGGTGGGCATGCGCGCAGGGCATGGGCCGCCATCTCGAGGACAAGATGCACATCGAGACTCACAACTCACCTTCTTGATGGAATGAGCCAAATCCAAGGTGCTCTAGCCGCGACTACACCTCATGAACTTTCCAACACATCCATCAAATCAAAAAGCTTCACTTAGGAAGTAGGATTAGGGTTAGGGTTAGGGTTAGGGTTAGGGTTAGGGTTGACCTGGCGGATTTTTCAGAAGTGGTGTATGGTATTCACCTTCCTAAGTGAAGTTGCTTTATTTGATTGATGTGTTGGAAAGTTCATGAGGTGTAGTCGCGGCTAGAGCACCTTGGCAAATTTTGAGTGTCACGCTTTCTCATCGCGAACGCGTCTGGACTTGAGTCGAGATTTTGAGGGTGGAGATGTGATGAGAGTGAGAGACGAATCACACTAACCCCCTCCCCCCCCCCCCCCCCGCATTGAAGCTTGGTGGTGTTGTTTTGGTCAATTTTGCCCCTGGTCACGTCCATTCCACTTTTTGCATGTATCTTTTGTCCGGCCCCTCTTTCAACC